AGATTGAAACCTATTTTTTTGCATAGCAAACGTTCGAATTAGAAAAATGATATTTCTAAAAGAATCATTGGGGACGCTTTATTTAGTTTTAAAGAAGTTGATGGGGTCGTGAAAGTCACGTTTCATATATGATGATTTTGGTGAGTTAAGTTTTGTTGAGTTACAATTTTTTTTAACATTTGTAAGTTACCCGTGGAATTTTTCTGCGAACATTAGGAATGAAGGGAATAAAATATGCGGATGATCAATAGAGTGCAACATTTCAAAGATGAGTGATTATTGGGAAGCATTTTGAAGTTTGATGAGTGAAATGTGACAAAATATAAGCTGGATGAGTAATAAAACAATGTTTCCACTGAGTTGTCATTTTTTAACGGCCGTTACCTGCCATGTGTGTTTTCCGTCCGCCACGTCAGTTTCAATGGTAACGGAATTTGGTGAGTGATGTATGTGGTGCAACGGCAGAAAGTTCAGTGACAAACAGAATTTGGTGAGAGTCGGATGTGGTGCAACGACAGAAAGTTCAGTGACCATTAAGAGGCAATTAGAAGTTCAGTGAGTAAGTCGTGACCATATTAAAGTTCAGTGACCATTCAAATATTTTACTCCAGTGTTTAAGTTCAACTAGAATAATAATGAGACCAAAATTGACAGGACTCGATAAACAGAGAAATTGGAGTTACGATTCTAAGCACGTAGTCTCGTGTTTCATAAATGCGATTTTTTATTTGATATTTGTGTCAATAATTGCGATATTTGAAGATTGAATGGCAATGCATAGCTTTAGTTAAACATATTTTCCACCAGAAATGATGGGGTCGGTCCTTTTAGGTATCGCCTAGTCATTGTCAAATCGAATATTGTAAACAACACAGTAATATATTGAACAATACTACGTATACAACACATGAGTTACAATATTGGATTACAAGGGAGGTGGGTCCCGCGATTAAAATAACAGTGGACCCCACCTCCCTTAAGAGATGTTGTAACCCAATGTTATACAAGAAGTATTATTCTAATAACTTGGATTGTTCTCTCTTCAACAGTCACTCCAGTAATGAGTTTTTTTTTTTTTTTTGCTCTGTTATACTGAGAATAAGGTTGTACTGAACTCGTTTTGCCCCTTTTTTATACAGATTTTCTAACATTCATTTTTCACTCATTACCTTAATTAAATAATTTTGCACACGGATCTACAATTTTTCTATTTTTAATTACACCTTTTCTAAAAAAATCTATTTTTCACTAAATTTACATCAAACGGAACCTAAATGAGGAGATTGGGGTGGATCAAACATTTATTTTTTTGTAGGGGCGAAAGATCTTTGAAAGAACATAATAATCAAAATATTTTAACACATTATTACAATGATTGCTTGCTCATTTTTAAGAATAAAATTATTTGATAATGTGTAGAAAAAGTATTAAAAGCAAAAAAAATTAAAATTAAAATTAAAATCGGTGGGGATCAGTGGCCTCCGCACGCCCCCATGTGGCTCATTTCAATGTGAAGACACAAGCAACATATTTTATGAAATTTGTTGGCAAAATATGTGTTGACAATATCTAGACTAATGCTTTCAAAAACAGTTTTTGAAATCAATGACTTAAATCTTGTTACACTCATTTTGTCAACAGATTTTGTAACTCAATTTTGTACAACTAAATTAATTGGAAATAAAAAATCGTTTATTGAAAATCTCTAAAATATATTGAATGATATCATGTTTTTATTATTAGAAAAAAAAATATATTTTTAGAAAAATGGCATTGCTCAAATTTAAAAGTCACGATCCAAATCATAATTTTTATTTTTTCATATTTGATGATATTTCTCATTACCACAATTTAGGGTATTATTTTCAATTCCCATACTTATTCTAATGATAGATTAATAATATATGTGGTTTATAGGGATAGTTAGCACAAAACGTCGATATCTTTCAATATTATTGCGTAAAACGTCTCTACCTTTCATTTTTTAGTATTTTCACCTTTATTCACATTTCATTACAAAAATCATCATTTTCATCTTTTTTTTTTTAATTAAAAGCCGTGAAATGGCAAATACACTCTCCTATTTAAATAAAATAAATAAATTTTGCAATCATTGTTCCCAATTTTCCCAAAAAAAAAAACTAGAAATGAGTCACAAATATACAATTTAAAATCAAAACTAAAAAAACTAAAAACTCCGATCAACCACCACCCAAACCGCCAAACCTCCATACCATTGAACATTCTTCACTCCCCTCTGCACATACCACCCATCAACCAGATTTGGTCGGAATCGATGACCAAAATCTTTCTCGCACGCACGTACTCCATGTTAATCTGTCATATGGAGGCCAGAGGCCGAATTGTTGAAAGCCCATGGGTGAAATTGATGCGTTTTAATTAGATGATGCCGGAATGGGTGGTACGTGATCGTGGGTCCCACCACTGGTGCCAAAAATCTTGACTCAAAATTGCGGTTTTGCTTGGTTCAAAAAAATCCCATTTTAAAATTCAATATTTCAAAATTGCAAAGTTTGACCCTAAATTTAAAATTTTGGCAAAGGGCCTCAAAATTTAGAAATTACAGCATAGGTCCTTTTCTTAAAAATTACAAAGTGAACCTTTTTTAAAATTGCAAGCAAGCCCCAAAAATTGGAAATTGCAGAGAAGCCCTAGTCTCCAAATCAAACCAAAACCCGACCCAAATACCAAACCCTAGGCCTCAAAAAAAAAAATTATGTCGCCGCCGCCGGGCCTTCCTTATCTCTACGCAGTCCACGACCGACGGAAAAAATCGGCAGCTGTGAGCTGCATCTGCAGCAGCGTCGCACGCTGTTGCAGATAGCAGCGCCCGGTGCTTCCCCAACGAGCAGCGACGTCAACATTGCTGCTCCCGCTCGCGGGACGTTCATTCACAAAACAAGGCTGAAACCAAGGCAAACCCAGATGTCATTACACAAACACACACGGCTGAAACCAAGGCAAACCATGCGGGTTCATTCATACCAAAATCAAAGGAAACCTTGATGCTATTACACAAACATACTTGGCTTCAATACACACAAATGCGGGGGCTACAATTTTTTATTTTTTTTGGGAGAGATAGAAGAGACAGTAGCCTGATTTGATTATTTTGATGGTAATTATAAACATATATGCACACAGACGGTGAAGCTGCAGTTTCTTTTTGTGTGGGAAAAAAATCAAAAAAAGGAGCTACTATGAATCTATTGAACATGTACGTGAGAGAGAAGAGACAGAGCCTTTAAAATCAATTTAATTTTCGTTTAAAAGATTCTAATTTTAGCATGCATGTTCTGATACCAAATGTTGAAATTCAGCAATAATTATGCTAAGAACAAGAATCACATATACTAAATTGATAGATTAAAATTCATACATGCAGAAGACATTTTTGTTTATTAATATTACCAATTAGATCTTCTTTTTTTTGTTCCTAAAAAACAGTCGTCAATAGAGCAAGTGATAAGTGTATTTTATATACTTATTCGGGGTTTAATATAGCGAAATTTGATAGTTCTTTTGATAAAATATATCATAAATTGTTGTATTTTATGTTATATAGGTAAAACTCAATGGTTAAGCGAGGAATCGAAAGAAAGAAGCGAAAAATGGTGAAAATGGACAAAATTCAAAGTTTGATGACCAAATTGTAATAATTAAATAGTTGATTCGGATACAAGAAGATAGTTTGAAAATTGTTAGGAGGCAATTGGATAAAACTAGAACTCAAAAGGGAATGGAATACGATCAAAATCAATATTCAATCACACAAGTTATATTCTAGATTTTTATCCGAATATAAGACCCATATTTGGCACAGTGAATGTCCGAATTAAAGAAATTATATTTCTAGAGAAATTGTATCCATTCGAACTAGCTTTCTAACTCACTTTGAATCTCCTTAATCGTATATAAAAAGAGAAAGTTATGGCCAAAATACTGACTATTGTGCATAATCAAAAAATTCCGCATGCGAAGACAACTTTTTTTATTTGATTAGAACTCTTTTGGAAACCAATTTAGACGTGATTTTTAACCAATTTTCGACTCCAACAGATACAGAATATCAGATACATATGTGGGGCCTCTGATATTCATACAATACGCCAATATTCATCATTACAAAGAGAGAATATCAATAATTTTGTGAGAAATTATAAGAAGGATTGCAAGAATTCATTCAAATGAAGATCCACCTTGATTTTTGGGCAAAGAAGAGAAGGTGCAACTGAAGATTCGTCAA